TTTTTTTTTGAGACAGGAGCCTCAAGCTGTCCCCCTGGGTAGAGTGCCGTGGCATCTCAGCTCACAGCAACCTCCAACACCTGGGCTCAAGCGAGTCTCCTGCCTCTGCCTCCCAAGTAGCTGGGACCACAGGCATCCGCCGCAACGCCTGGCTATTTTTTGGTTGCCGCTGTCATTGTTGTTTGGCGGGCCCGGCTGGATTCGAACCCACCACCTTGGGTGTACGTGGCTGGCGCCATAGCCACTTGAGCCACAGGCGCCGAGCCAGTCTAGTTAATCTTAATTCAGTTTTCCAAACTCATTTAGCTACAGAATCCCTTTTTTCCTTATAATACCTATCATAAACACAACATATTTTAGGAAACACTTGTATAATTAGCTAAATAAAACAGAAAAAGTAATTAAAAGTATATTAAAATGAGTTTTTTTAAAATTGTTCCTATACATTTCTCTAATTTTCCCCAAAATAATTTATCTAAAAATAAAATGTAAGGCGTGGTGCCTGTAGCTCAAGCAGCTAAGGCACCAGCCACACACACCAGAGCTGGCAGATTGGAATCCACCCTGGGCCTGCCAAACAACAAGAACAACTATAAACAAAAAGAAAATAGCTGGACGTTGTGGCAGGTGCCTGTAGTCCCAGTTACTTGGGAGCCTGAGGTAAGGGAATTGCTTAAGCCCAGGAGTTAGAGGTTGCTGTGAACTGTGATGCCATGGCACTCTACCCGGGGCAACAGCTTGAGGCTCTGTCTTAAATAAACAAATAAATAAATAAAGTGAGACCTTTCTGGGGGTCACTGCCTCCATAGGAGAATATGTCTCTCACAAAGGGTCTCATTCTTCCCTCTCCAGAAAAGAAGAGGAAACAAAAAGCAGCAGCTGGTGTAGAGCCCCGATTCCTACTTCACGGGTGTGAAATGCCCAGGGATGCTATAAAGTCACCAGACCAGTCTCTTTTGGCTTGTAAAGTTTCAGAAGTCCACTGTCACCCTGATGGATCTGGAACATTTTGACACTGTTGGTGGGAATGCAAACTACTATAGCCTCTTTGAAAGAAATATGGGGAATCCTCAAAGAACTAAAAGCAGAGCTTCCATTTGATCCTGCAATCTCATTACTAGGCATCTACCCAGAAGAAAAAAAATTTTACCATAAGGACATCTGCACTAGAATGTTTATCACAGCTCAATCCACAACCACCAAGACAGAGAATCAGCCCAAGTGCCCATCAACACAAGAATGGATTAATAAATGGTGGTATATGTATACCATGGAATACTATTGAGACATAAAAAAGATGGAGACTTTATATCTTTTGTATTAAACAGGATGGAGTTGGAGAACATTCTCCTTAAAGGGGGGAGGATTGGTGAGCTCTCACCTAATGGACATAATGTAAGGGTATATGGCACATCTCCTGGGTTAAGAGCTCAAATACAACTTGGACTTGACCTAACAAACAATGTACCCTAATTGTCTGTGCCCTCATATTAATATGAAATTAAAAAAAAAAAATCTTAAATCTTTCTAAAAGCAGAGTATGAATGTCTTAATAACTAAGAAAATGACATGAAGGCTACGTTAACCAGTTTGATGAGAGTATTTCAAATTGTATATGAAAACACCACACTGTACCCTGTGATTGCATTAATGTACACAGCTATGATTTAATAAAAAAATAAAATAAAATAAATCTCCAGGATAGTTAGTCATGCACAAACAGTAATTCTGTGTGTTGGGTCCTCTGCCAGCCTACAGGAGGAAAAGCCAGACATACAGAAGGATGTTCCTTCAAAAGAAAGCAGCATTAAAAGTACCCTGCTTAGACGAAATGGGAAACCATCCCAATAATTACATTTGTGATATTAAAAAAAAAAATTAAAAGAGGGTGGCGCCTGTGGCTCAAAGAAGTAGGGCGCCAGCCCCATATGCAGGAGGTGGTGGGTTCAAACCCAGCGCAGGCCAAAAACTGCAGGAAAAAAAAAAATTAAAAGAAAAAGTCTAAAATATTTATAACATTCCTTCCAGTTCTGAACTTCTATGATTATTCTTATGTGACTTAACTGATCAAAATTCCTTTTAAAATTTTTACTTTAACAAGATGAAATTCAGTATTTATTGACCTCAGTTTTGGTATGATTCTGTTTTAGCGTTCGCGGGATAAATACATTTTCAAGTAGCGAAAACTCAAAAGCCTTACTTCAGAATTCTATCTTTTAATAAAATATTATGAATGCACTTTGTCTGACTAAAGATTTCTTTGATATTTTAGAATATTTTAAGTTTTTAAAATCAACTTCCATTTAAAAGTTAGAAGAGAGAGTTTCAGTTCTTAGAACTCATGCTTTCTCTGGCTTTTGAGACTTCACCTTGCTGGCGATCTTCTCTTCACGCACCCACCTCCAGCCCTCATTCTCCTGCATGTTTCAGGCTACGCCTCACTGCCTTCCACGACCTATTAACAACACCCCAGTCCTTCTTTTTGGACATTCTTTCTGTTCCCACAGTACATGATCCTCTCTTCAAATGTCCCTTTATACCCTTAGCATTCTGTAGTACTAAATAACATATTAACCGTTCATATTAATTATTCTTAATATATTCTGATACCTAGACCTCAGTGACCCCAACAATAGCTATGATTCTCTTCCCCAAAGAAATACACAGATGTGTATAGTAAGTCTTACCTCTAGTTGGGGTCTATTTTGGTGGTTCATAAGTCCCCTGCACTATACTGAAATTACTGCTTTAACTGTCTGTGTGCTATGTAAGAAAACATGGGATTAGGCCTTGTTTAGACCTGTCTACCACAACAGCTAATATACTACTACTTA